TGGCCTCCACGCATCCTTCAGGAAGACGAAGCGTTGAGTCTCCCACTCCACAGCGACGTACCCTCGCGTGCCACGACCAATCAGACCAGAGGGGTCCGTGATCGGCTTCCCAATCAGGTAGACCCGTCCATCGACGGTGACCTTGTAGCGAGGCCAGCCCTTGGACACCGACTCATGAAAGAGCGTACGGACGTATTCAAACACAGGGCGTATGTCGGGGCGTTCCGGGTCGAGCGGGTGATCGATCTGGTGATTGCACGTCGCAGTGGGGTCGTCGTGCAGTAGGCCATGCTCGAAGAGAGGAGATTTCCCAGGATCGTCAGCAGGGCCAAGGAAATCGCTGGGAATGGCAGTGATCTTTCGCTCCAGCTCTTTGACGTCGTTGCTATGGGCGAAAGACAGGGCATTCATCCGCTTCCAACCACACGAGTCCTTCGACAAAGGAACAGCCGTGGTGTCGACGCCCTGTTGCTCCGGACTCGTCTTCGAGAATGCGTAGAGGAACTGGAGGAGTCGCTTTGTGTCTTCCGCTGTCTCGACGTACTTCAGAGCTTCGGTGACGATGCAGCCGGAACGGTCCCATCGGATGATGCGAAACTCGAGGCCGTTGACGAAGATCATGAACAGCGCGGTACGGTGTTGGTATGTGAAGACGCGTTCGGCATACGACATCAGCTGTCCCCTCACAAGGCGACGACTCTCCGCCTCGTTCTCTAATGTCTTGCCTGGGTGATCGTCGAATGCATCGAGGCTAGTACCTCCGCGCTTGAACTCGACGGAAAGCCGCTGCAGAGCCCAGTTCTGGACATTGGGCACTATGGAGTCCTTGTCGGCGTCCGAGATGAAGGAACCATCGATCTTGTACCGTTTTTCGTCCGTCTCCTCGGACTTGTCTTCTGAAAGGTTCAAGACGTGTCCAGGACAGAGACGGTGGTCCTTATCCGTCTGTGCCTGTGATCGTCCGACGATGTTAGCCTTGACTCGTTGAGCCACCGAGAACGACGTATCACGTACCCATGCCATCGAGATCATCTTCTCAGCCTTGACCTTAGACCCGTCCTTGGACGCTGCCTCAGGCACGGTCTCTTGCTTTCGTGTGGCTGGAGATGCGCAGGCAGTCTTCAACGCAGTGGATATCTCGGCAATCTTCTCCTTGGGGAAGGCTTCATCGAACCCGTCGAGAGAAGGAAGGTAGGTCTTCATCAGTCGCTCGAAGCGGAGAAACACGGTGGTGTTCCGGCCGTCGGACATCATATGATCCCTGTCTGTGGCCGCGGACGAACGAACGGATACTCCAGGGAGACGTTTGTGGTCTCTAGCGCGATTATGGCGTAGGTTAGGAGGGGAAGACTTGACATCGGGATCGGCGGGAAGTGAGTGAGGAGGCATGATGGTTCAAGGGAGAGATGATTCACCTGAAGCGGCGCAGGAAGAGAGGGTATTTGTACCCAAATCTGCGGTGGTTAGGACGTCCTGCCCAAGGCCGTGCGGTGAAGCTGGCTGCCTCCAGATCCAGCCACGTTGATTAGCCAAGGCTAGTGACAAAGGACCGATCGATATATCTACATACCCGATTTGAGGAACAATGATAGCTACCGCTTTGTCTGGACTGACTCGACGTAAGATGAATAGCCAGACAGACACTCGCCACTGAGATGTACTTGGTTCGATTGCCTTATATGGGTGATCGGTGTGATGCCGACCCGGCACCGGTCTGCTCTGATGGACCACCCAAACCAAGCGATGAAGCCAACTAGCGCCGGGCAGACATTCCATGTTTCCGTGCTTAGAGAAGTCGACGAAAGCGGGAGGGCAGGAGGCAAACCCCGCCGATTTATCTGGGTTTTCAAAGGCTGGCCATATCGTTACGAATGGCTTACCTGGTGGCACTCCTTTTCATAGATTCTTCCCTGCTTGAAGGCCGGAATGCCTGACGGTGTGGAGTGAAGTCCACTCAGACAAAACATTGGCTGCTGCTAGCTCCTGTCATAGATATGTTGGTCGACTGACCACCCTCTTATTATGTGGCTTTTGATTCAGATGACGGGATCGTACAGTGCTTGCGCCCTGCCTCGCCGCCCGATTGTCGGCCGTGCATCCCAAGTGCCGTAGTACATTCAACTTTGGCTTAGGCAGACGACCTGCGGTTATCAGGGTCCTCTCAGTCGATTTTCTTCCCCAACCTCCGACACAGTCTGACAAGAGCTACTAGGCGCCAATGCTTT